ATATATTTTATATATATTTATATATAGAGTCAGGGATGCTGAACCAGCTCTGCTTGGTGCAGCCAACTTCTTGAGACACTGCTGTCCTGCTTCCCGGACCCCCTTGGGTTCCTGCAAGTGCTGGGAGCTTTGCAGACAGAGGTGCAGGATCAGGACCAGGATGGCTGTAATCTGGCTGAGCAGTGCTCCTAAGCTGTGCTGCATCCTTGCTGATGCCTTCAGACCTGCCTGGGTGTCTCTCCTGCTCCCCAGTGCTTGGGTTTTTGGAGGGCCTCATTAACGGGGTTGCAGTGTCCTGTGGGCACAGGGAGCTGGCTGGAGCTGAGCGCCACGCTCAAGCAAATAACCCCCCTGAGTCTGGAGCACAAGAAAGCACAGAGCGGGCTCCCAAGAATCATTGCAGAACTCAGATTGGCTTTGGCAGGTTTATCAGCTCTGGCTTAGTGCCGGCTCTGCTAGGCCCAGACTGAATTAATTGGGATGCTTGTGCACTGCAGTTGCGAGATAACTGCATTACAGAGATTTATCTGTTACTAAAGGTATCCCCTCCACTGTCCTCCATAAGGAAGAGGAGAAGCTATGCAGAATCTCGCAGAATTTGCAGCAAGGTCACAGCATGGCTGGTTTTACACATGGTTTATGTATGAGTTTGCATTTGGTATGAGTGGTTTTATTCAATGCTGTCACATATGGAAATCCTACAGTTGATTGCAGTGGAGGTCGAGCGGCTGTTCCTGTGTGCAGCGTGGGGGTGACTGGCCCAGCTGTGTGCTGTGGGGGTGGCTGGTGTTTGCTGATAGCTGTCTGGACAATAATCAGATTCTGGTTCTTCTGATGGGTCAGAAGGCCCATCCATCTGTGTATCTATACGACCACCTGCAGATAGGCAGGCCAATTAATTCACTTACTCCAAACAGGCCAGAAGCCCTGTTAGGGTGACGCGATGCCCAAAGGAATAGACTTTGCACTCAGGAATTTTCTCGAAATTGTAGCGATTACCAAGTCTCTCTCCTTCGATATTGCCTACGGCGTTGCCTCATGCTGCAAAAGTCCTGGTGTGGTGTGAGCTCATCTAGAAGGCAAATGTGAGAGTGACCGGAACACAAATGAGTGCAAACATAATGTTATTGAATGGAGGTATTCCTTTATGATTTGAGCCCTGAGGGTAGTTACCTGATCCGGCATTTAGCCTGATACCGTAATTTGGCAGTCTTTGAGAAGCCAGTACAGTATATTATATGTGACAATGATTTATATCTGTGCTGAGAAATAAATCTGTAAAGAACTTCCAAGAGACAACTGACAGGAGGGCGGTTGTTTTTTTTTATTGAGAGATTTTATAGAGGCATTCTAGTCTGCCAAAGAAATACAGCTGCTTGTAAAGTCCACATTTTGACGATGGGTTAAGCTAAGCAATGCTTAACCTCATGTTTGAGGGCCTCTGCTGTTTTCTGCAGCCTTATTTCTCCCTCCTGTTGTGTTGTAGCCTCCTGGGACATATTTTAGCTCGGGGTTACAAGTGGTCCATTGCATCCTAGTCTTAAAATTCAAAGTTGACCTCTGATGTTTGCTGCAGTTTACTCCCAGGCTGACGAGTGAAAGTGTCCAGTTCCCTTATCTCACAGCTTTCTCTGTCTTCTTCCATCTCTTCACTTTCTCCCCCTACTCCTTCCGCCAGCCTTGCCATGAGACTAGCAGTGTTGCAGGATAAGCTGCTAGGGAAGCGCTGGGATTTTCCAGTCTCCCAGTGCTCCCTAGAGCAAACCTCAGTAGTGCCTAAAATTTGCAACAAGCGTTTGCTAAGATTCATTTCGGAGCTTTATGAGCTCCCATGGCTCCAGCATGAAGAGGAGTTTTCACTTAATGGCAGAGAGTCCTCCAAACTATTATTTCCACACAAAACAACTTGTTTCTGAGGAAACAAATGCTGTCTTGTTTTCAAGGAGTCTTGCTTCTGAAACCGGTTTGTCATTCTCTTTGACTGGATTCTTGTTCTCACCACGGCCCTGTTTACCTCGAGAGTGCAATTTTACACATGAGGTTTGAGGATGGAATGAGCAGGGTAGACAAAGAGTTACCGGAGTAGCCTTACAATCTCCAGTACAGCCATAGCTTTATTGCATCTGACTTGGACTAAAAATAAAGTGAATTTGATGTTTACTAGTCTCTAGGGCCATTTGTTTGGCTTCATGGACTCCTTGTGAGAGTCTGTGTTATCTGTCGGCTTGTCTCAGGGGAGGCCAGGGCTGGGCTGGCAGGAGGACCGGAATTGGAGAGAATTTTACACATAGAACTGGCCCTGATAAGTTTGCTACAGGTGGGTGCTGAGTCGTGGTAGCGTTGGGAGAGCAGGCTGAGATAGCAGGGACCATGTAAGATGAGGATTAAAGCATACCAGCAGTAACATAAGCACCTGCTCCTGGGATAGCAGGAGACCACACAGTGAGAGGAGGGTTTTGAAGATCGAGATCTGCAGGAGGACTGAAGATCCACCTCTGTGCTGTGCTGGCAGAGGCATGCTTACAAAAAAAAACCTTGCAGAGCCCTGCCTTTAGCATATCTGGCTCTGGTCACTGCTGTGAACGCGTCACTTCCAAGGATGCTAACAAATCAATATATTGGCCATGAACATAACAGGCAAGGAAGCAAACCAGCTCAGGAGAGTCTGGTTGTGCACACACAGAAAAGACACAAACCCCAGATATTCACGTAAGGCATTGTCTCCGCTTCTTTTCTTAAAGGATTCCATCCTCCCCTGCCCCCACCCTTTGCACTCTAACGCTATATTTGTGCCTTGGAGATGTGGAGATGAGCGTATGATGGATGGATGGATGCCGCTTGTCTGGGTTTTTCACCACCATTTCCCCTGGGGCACTCTGTCTGCTGGCAGAGAGCACCATCCCAAAAGATGGTATCTTTTGCAAACTCGACAGCTAACAGACAGCTTCTCTCTCTGCATATTTCCCCAAAGAAGTGCAGGCTTAATCTGGTTTTTATATGGCATATTTCATTATAATCTTTTTGACTTCCCATGTTCCCAATACGCCATCATAAATAAAACGCTGGGGGTGGGAACAGCAGAGATGCTGAGGCTTCACACTCTCGTGACACTGATAGATTCTCATTTTAAACTGTCATGGGATTTAATTGCTTGCTGAGCCACTGCGCTGCACTTTCAGACACATCCTGCCACATCCTCTTAATGAGCTTAGTGGCTGCATTCACTCAGTGGTAGTTCTGTTTGCTGTGAATTAGGTGGCTTTTTTAGACCACCTATACGATTTTAAAGAGGTACTTGTTATTAAGGTAACCATCCTTGGATTTATCCATCTTAAACATCACTTCGTGGACCCTTAGTGTATAGTTTCCTCTAGCACTTTGTATGCTCCAAAAAAAAAAAACGGCACCGAGAAACAAAAACGCAAGAATCTATGTGCAAAGTCAGTGTCTGTCTAAGAGGGTTTTTGGAAGCTGGATTGCTTTGGTTTGCATAGTAGCTGTCTCTGGCGTGATAGATCATGCTGGAACTCACCCAATAAGTATCTCTGTTCCCAATTAGAACTGGAAATGGAGCTGCTTACGAGTGCACAGAGATGATGGCCTGGGTGGCAGCTGCTACTGTGGAGATGGAAATGATCCATTGTAAAACAAATATGTCGCACTGTATAGAAAAAGGGGATGGTTGTTTTTAATTTATGTTTCAAAGAGACACTGGAAAGTCGCTTATCCCCCAATACGCCGTAACCCAAATGCAGCGTGTTTAAGGACGGGAATTTGCGGCTGTTTTGGTGAATCAGAACTTGAAAAAGCCCACCATTTTGTAGGATTTGTGAGAATGTGCTTCTTTTGGAGGCAGCAGTTCAAGAGAAAGCAGATAGAGGAATGATGTTGGCATGAGTGCTCGTTCACATTCTACCACCGTGGTCTAAGGACCTTGATAAATAGAGAGGTTGCTGCACTGAGCTGGTAAGCAGAAATAACCGTGTTAATTTAATCATTATGAAAGGGACTCTGCCAAGTTAAGAAATGGATTTTAATTATATGCACACATACATGTTTGAATTACAATATATGCACAATATTTAGCTGTAACACCAATAATACCATGATTTATTAAACTAGGAAAAACTCTTAAGTAACATTTCTCTTTGGTTAATTTGGTGCTTCCATTTTGTATGGTCCTCCTGTTTCCTTTATCTCCTACACTGACTAGGTGCTATTGCATTTGCAACACCAATCAAAGGAAATTAATCTACAAACCTTCTTAAAATTTTTATGTAAAAGAGTAAGCTTTTAGTTATAGTGCTTTTACTAATAGATATTGCTTGTAATAAAGATTATGTTCTCTGAAATTGCAATGTCTGTAGAAAAGCTTGTGATACAAACTAGGAGTTACAATGGAAAGAATTTAGAACAATTAGTGGGTAGAAAATGTTATTACCTATATTTAAAAAGGATTTGGATGTGATTCAAGGATTTAAAGACCCATAAATTCTACATGAACATTTGAGAAATTGATTGAAACAGCAATTAGGTATAAGCAGTAAAGCACCTGGGAAATGATACAGGAGGTTCTAACCAACTACTTCTCTTTTTGATTTTTTTCCTATCAAGGAAAATCATGGCTCACTACTTTCTTCAAATGTTTTACATGATGTGTAAAGGACTAACAGACAAGGTTTACAGTTTACTTAGGCTTTCTGAAGACCTTTGGTATGTAATAGGCTTCCAAAGAGAAGCAATGCATTGTCTTGGATCAAAGCTTTTAGCATAAATGATAAAACAAAGAACAAAATGAAACGATTTCCATTCTAGAGAAAGACAAAGAGCTTGTGCATCAAGGTTTGGTGTTTGGTCCGGTGTTGTGTAATAGGGTATTGAACAAGCTGGAGAGAAGGAGTACCTTGTAAACTACAAAGAGTTGCACACAGGACAGATGTTTAGAGCCGTCATGGCCAGGGACGTCTGTGAGGATCTCCTTGGGGAGATCTGGATGTGCCTGTGGGCAGTGAGATGGACGTTTTAATTTGTTACCTGTGTGTTTGAATGTGTTACTTGTGGGAAATTCTTGCTGTTCTTACAAAGTTCCCAATTCTGCTTAGTATGCAGCTTGGACACTGCCTGAGGAGTAATATAAAGAATATTGTGATGCTTTTGTTTAAATGAGGGATACGGTTTCATCCGAAAACACCAGGTGCAGTATTGGTCCATCTTGGGAAGATTACTGAGGAATGAGAGGAAGTTCAGAGAGGTCTGACAGGGCAGAGCCGTGGGGAAGACTTCCCACGGCAGAGTAATAGAGAAGATTGTGACTGTTTATCCTCGGAAGGAGAGGAATAAAAAGGAATGACAAAAAAAGTTTGGTCAGGAACTTCTGTTTTCCCCATCTCAAAGCAAGAACAAGAGGGCGGGCAATAAATAAGTGAAACACTCCTTCTTTCAAACCATAGTTTAACTGTTGGTGGGAAAACATTAAAGGCAAAAGTATCAGAATTCAGAAGGGGCTGGGTTATTCTCTGTGTCCTGTATTCTATGAATTCTTCTGTATTTCCAGAAAAGCCAGATGTAGGATAACTAGAAGTGATACTGCACTTATCCCTCAGGCCTGAACTGTTGAGATTGGGGTGAAAAGCAGTATTAGAGTAGATTATTTTCTTTGCATTTCTCCCCTGACAGACACTTGTACCTTCTTCTGCAGCATCTGATGTGACTGCATAGTATAGCACAACAAATATCAAAGTGAACAAAGGCAAGTGTGGGGTCACAGCTTAATTCCTCAAGCCTAAAAGAGTCTCTCTTTGGCCTCATTTGAAGCTTCTGACACAGGCTGGTACCTTCATAAGCAGGACAGTGGGTGGAACGGACCCCATCTTGCTTCTCAACAGCAGTTCACATGGTCTGGGGAAAACCTTGATCTTTCACATGAAAACTACTTTTCGGGCATTGACTTGGCTTCTCAATTTTCTCTAGGACACAGGCATTAAATAAATATATACTTTTCTAGCTTTTGTGGGAAAATTGTGGAGAGTTAAATAGGAAAGAGATAATTAGGGATTTAGTTAAATGAATTTAATGATCCCTAGTAGCATTTAACTATCTCTCTAGGTTAACTGAACTGTCTTTTGGATTTTTGAAGATTTTTATCTCTGAGTCTTCAAAAAGTGGTCTGAAAAGGTAATTTCCTGTGTTCATTCCTGTATCCTTTACAGACTAGCCATCTTCCAGGAAGGACTGAATTCTTTACAAAGATTGCATTAATTACGAAGAGGCTGTCTTTGGACCTCTGAAGGTTTTATACTGTAAACTTTACACTCCAGATAAGATAGTGTCTGCCATTTCCCACTTGCTAGAGCCAGTGAGGAATGAAAATGGACTCCTAGAAGTGGACAAGAAAATGAAGAAGTTGAATAGCAGTCTGCTTATTGGGCTGCAGATGGAAGGCAGCTGCCTTGAGTTTCTTTTCACCAGATTTCCTGCTTGCTAACAGGACTTCTGGGTCTCTTAATCAGTAAGCTGGGAATAAAAGTATGACCTCACACCACCTTGTCAGTGGGATGTTAAGTTCAACAATTAAAAATACTCTGAGAGTTTTGGATGAAAAGCCTCCTGGAGCGTTGCTGGTGGGAAGCAGCAGCACCACACAAAACCAACACGCCCATTAAAGTTTTTGACCTTAAAGCCTACCTTTGCCTCTGACTCAATGTTCAATGTTCTCTGGAACAAACATTACTTTCATACTTGTTCTACTTATCCCTCGCCCCTGCCTTGCTCATTCCCTTTTCCAGCATTCGTTTGCTGAGTCCGTCAGTATCCAGAGACAGGCGTAGCTTGTCACAGTGAAGACATGCTTGCTTCCGATGCCCTTGAGCTTGCTTGAAGCTGCTGAATGTGTGATGACCCCTTGGGTTTGCAGTCCCACAAGGTTTTAAATACAGAGCAAATGCCCTTTTGCACCTAAGCACAGGACTTTGAAGCCCATCCAAGCCCACAGCCAGAGATGATTATGGAAGTTCCTTATTGACTTTAGATTGAAGTGTCAGGATTTGCACATAAATCAAGTCTAAGATCCCTTCTTTCTTTTGAAATGTCTGGATTTGGCATTCAGAGGGAGGTACTAAGAGTTCATCCAGGCAAATTCAGTCCCTACAGCTCTCTGTTGACTTCTCTATCTTTTTTATAGCTCAAGGAAGGGAGAAGCCGGGGAAGGTGGCATAATGGGGTGGGTGTGCAGAGCTTAATGCTGAAACCAGAGGCCTGACTGAATAGACCTCCTTGTGATGAGAAGGGGGATCAATTCACAGTTGACTCCATCTCATTGTGTGGGTTGTCCTGGGAGTTTCCTTTGAAAATCACAGTGGTTTGGGTTTTCTGCATGGTTTGTACTCAGCCTTTCCCTCCATGAATAGAATAGCTTTTGCTGGAATTTTTGCTGGGTTTTCTGTGGTTATTGGCTGAGCAATGCTCTCTCACTTCAGAAGGCTTGAGCAAGCATATTGTGGAAGCACTGATCAGGGACCCTGAATCATTTGCTGGCTTAGAGTTTTTCATATATAGAACAAACATGTTCCTGGGATGCAATTGCCCCCAAGAAAGAGATTATACTTTACTGTCCCAGGTGGAAGTGTTCATTCATTATTTGGATTGCAGGAGTGATTTGAGGCTTTGTAAGTACATGAATTTCTGCCCTGCAGAGTTTACAACTCATGGCGATAGAAAGGCAGGGAGCTTCAGGCAGACTGGGGAACACAACACAGTCCTAAAAGATGAGAAGTGGACAGAGCTGTGAAATAAGGACATCAGATGCTGATTTGTGAGCACTGGTCCTGTGCGTTATTACTTTATAAATCTGTTGGCCTAGAGGAGGGAATTCATTTTAGAAGGGAGGAAGTACTTGAGAGATCCATAACTGGCATTGTCAGCTAAGGAGACATTCAGGATGTCTCTGTGCTGTAGGGCTGCTGTGAAAGAAGCCCTGCATGGGTGGGGTAGAGGCCAAGATCTACAAGGAAAAATTAATTCTTCCCTACGTGTATTTTAATGGCTTGCTAAAATTAACTTGCTGGTTTTGCCTTTGTGCTGCAGTGTCTCATACTTTAGTAGCAGCATTCGGAAGGGGAATAAGGCTCTGTTCCTTCACTTGCAGGGCAAGTTGCATCAAGCTTCCTCATCAACCCACACTGTCTTTGAAGTCCCATGCCCCAGGCTGGACCCCGAGCCAGCCTCTGGCTCTCCCTGCAGTGACAGGAGGGCGTCCTGCTTTACAGGCTCGAAGCTGTGCTGACCGGTGTTTCTTCATCGGTGTAGGCCCATTTGAAACAAACCCAAGATGTTATCTAGTCAATATTACATGAAAACTCATCCCTTTGTTTTTTCAGTTGTAAGTTCTCAGCTTTGGTCCCTCACACTAGCTCTCTGCTTCCCCACGTGTGGAACAAGCGCTGGTGCAGGAGAATGCTGCTTGAAGCTGTGCTGTATAAACTGTGTGCCAGACGATAAATTGCATTAAAATGCTTTTCTGCTTCAGGAGAGCAGATCTTCATATTTGTTATTTCAGTATCTTAGAAAGTCCTGGTTTTGTTCTTTATTTGAAGCACAGAGAGATTACATAAATAAAGGAGAAGGATTTCTTTCCCCTTTTATTTCCTTCTGATTCAGTATGTCCAGCCTTTTTTTTCCCCTGTAAGCAAACACAGTGATTGAAAAGCTACCAGGTTTTCAGTAAGATAGAAATTAATCCTGTATGAAGATCCTTAGCGGTTAAAAGAAGAACTTGAAGAATGCTGCTTCAAGATAGAAACAATCCTGAAAGTCTGTCAGTCTTCTGCTTGTCATCTCTGTCCTTCTGCTTGTTAGCTGTCTGGGGGAGACACATACAGTCAGTGTGTTTTGTTTTTCAGAAGTTGATCTGCCACTGAAAAAAGATGGGTTCACCTCAGAAAGTACAACTCTGGAAGCCTTGCTGCGTGGAGAGGGAATAGAGAAAAAAACGGACACTAAAGAGGAAGACACTATACAAGAAATCCAGGTAAAGGAGCAGGGCCGGGTTTTACAAATTTCCTTGCAGATTTTTGTCACTGCATCTGTTGATAGTTGTGTCATCTGCTGCCAAAATGTTATCAAACCATTGTGCTGCACTGTGATGCTCAAAATGAACTCAGGATCTTGCACGCTTCTCCCGTCACAAGAATCTTGGTTGTTTGGCTGTGTTCTGCACAACTCCTGGGTTGGAATTCATTTTGCAGCACTATGAGGTCGTTACATATAAAACTAACTAGCAGAGAAGGGTCCCAGACATAAACAGAATTTTAGTGCCTCATATTTAAAGTGAATTAGAACGTGGATTTGAATTTAGATTCACAGATGCTGACTGTAGACAAAAATGTGTAGTTGCCTTGCCTGCCTTTTTTTTTTTAACACAAAAAAGCTTTCAAGAAGTATACAAACAAAATAGACAATTATAAATATTCTAATTTTAATTATCTCGTTATTAATAGTGATGCAGACATGAGAAATACTGCCTCCTGAACGTTATTTGTCAAGATTCCATTTCATCTTTTAACAATTAAAAATAGAAACACAGTTGTGGGTCTGTCGTAGAAGGAATTCAGCTGCTCTGAAGGGTTCTCTTGTATAAGTGTGTGTCTTTATAAAGACATCTTAAATTGCTGGGAAAGCAGGCCTCACCCAGGTGAGCAGCAGCACATCTTTGGAGATGCTAAAACACCATTGTGCTGTGAGTCTCAGTGATTTTTAACAAGAGCCACTGACAGCATATCAAACTTGGCAATAATTTTGGCTGAGATACAATATGTTGCATCTGTACCTAAAACCAGTAAAAATTTGAGTGGGCAGCCCCGTGTGCCAAATGACACAGAAGAGCATGGGCATCAAATCTATATTACTTGGAGCTCAGTCCTACCTGTCTATTACTAGAAATTTTATACATGTAAGGGCAGCAAAATCAGATGTCCCATTCCCAGTTACGCCGGTGGAGGAGCACGATTGAAAAGGAAGCATCCTGTGCTCCTGGAGCAGAGAAAAGCTCAGCATGAAGCCCGCTCTATGTTTCCTTCTGTCTGGGACTTTTAATCTGAGAGCCCTGAAGTTTCATTTATACCTGCTTCCAAAGTCACAGGAAGCCATGGTGCAGCATCCTTAGGAGATTGACAAGTACCTTTGTTGCTGTGGGAGTTGAGCTCCCGAATTATCCCCAGCAGCAGTCCAAGGAAGGAAACTTTGGAGACAGCGGAACTGGTGCAAGTCTGGGTGTTGCAAAGCGGGGAGGGGGTGCAAAAATGTACAAAACACGTTTTCAGCCAAACCGCTCTAGCCGTGACGTGTCACCTGGATGCTGGTTTAACCAGAACAAGATGTAAAAGACATGTTTTGCTGTTACATTTTAGGCAAGCACAGCTTATCTGGATTCAGTTATATCCTTTACAAGTATCGAGCTTTTGGTCGGCACGTGGCAGCTAGACTATGCCAGAGCAAAATCGTGATCAGCACCTTTTATCTGTATGACAAATAAGAGAATGCAAATCTCTCTTTTGTTCCTTTGCCTGCTTTTCTGTGCTGTAACTTGAAAGGGCCCAGACTGGGTGGTGTTGAGAGTGAGCAGGTGGGACAGACATAGCTGTAATTCCCGCCTCAGTCCCAGCCACTTTTCACCCTCTCAAACTCCCAGTATCCATCAGGAGAAGACTTGGTGCTTAGCTGCACTGAAGCACATTGGCCTGGGAAACTCTTTTAGAGTAGGAAAGAAACGTTACTTTGCAAAAAACGGTGAGGATTCCCCCTGCTAAGTAGATGCAATTGTTGGGACCTGCTGCGCAGTTGGTATTTAACAGGGGTTGAGGAGTTTGCCCTACAGAAAATTGGTGTTAAACGTATCTCCGTTGTTTGCTGCAGAAGGCTTAGAATAGTCCTTTGACCATGCGTCAGAAAGGCTGTGCCCCTGCTAGCAAGGATTAAAGTCATTACCCTGACAGTGTCACCAAATTTGCACTTGGTTACTTATTATCTCTTTCCTAAACTGATGCTGTGATTTTGAAGAAAGACAGTGGTTTGTAATATTTCTCTTCAGTGCTCTTGTGTAGTAGTGTTGTAAACTAGCGCCTTCCTCTCCCGTATATGATATTGTTACAGCCTTCTCCTTTTTTTTCTGAGATACTTACATATCAGTAAGTTTGTTTATTTTCTAACATACCACTCTTCTCATGTACAACATTTTCCAAGTGCTTCAGTTTCCTACGATGAAGGCAGTTAATGTATGGAATTGCATGAATTTTGAAGAAACGTTTTATATATGCAGAACTGGAACTTGCTTAACTTTTACATCTTCTAGCATTCAGTAATCTAGTATTATGTGAAATTGTATTTCATGATGATTTGACCTCATGAATAGCCTCCTGAGATTTAAAAATAAAAGAAACAAAAGCCAGATGAAGACTTGATCATTCAACATATTCTAAAAGTTGTTTGTGCTTTTTAAAAGGGACATTGTCCAATATTAGTCTTAAAAATTTAGGTGATAAAATGAAAATAAACTTGTATAGCTGGTCTTCCAAATACCAGCTTTTTCAAAAGTGAAATTTCTGTTGTATTCTTTCCCACGAATGCAGAATTTGATGCTTGAGGTATGTAGGAAGAAAAAACAATTGTGATTTGCTCCTTTTCTCCCTCTACTGGCTCTCAAATAGCTCTTAAGCAGAAATTATAGGGAAGAGACACTAAGCCTGAAAAACTTTCCCATTAATTTAATGTCACTGATTTAAATCTGTGTCATGGGTGCGTGCTGTAATTTAAATGAGCGGTGGCACAGCAAAGATAAGTTAGTGATTCTAGATTAGTCCTTTATGAAATGGCACCACACCAGGAGTGACTGGGGCCCATTTCTGTATTTCTAGTAGACGTGCCAAGGGTTGAGGGGATTTCTATGGGATCTTCTTTCCACATTAGCGTTGTGATGCTTCGTCTTGCCTTTGTCCATGTGCTGTCTAACTTGTGCATGTTTTCAGGGCAGCTGACCTGTGTTTGATTCTATAGAGTTTACATTTCAAAAGATCAAGATCAATGAAATTCCCTGGCCTGGGCATGTCACAGTGCAGTGATGAATTATTGTTCCCATTAAATAATTAATTGAAGGAACTATTGCTATTGTTCCTGTTAACTACAAGACCTGTACTTCCTCAGCATTCTCATGCAGTGAGACCTCTCCTTCCAGCTTACAGAGTTGTACCTGTGGTGTAAGCCCTGAAAGATGTTACTTCCTACGTCCACTACATATGCTGAAATGTATGGAGGAATTTTCTCTGCTTTTGCTATACAGAGAAAATCATGAGCTGATTTCCGTCTTAATGCTGATTTCCGTCTTCAAGTGCGTGCTCAACATTAGGGGGAAACAAAGCAGCTTGAAGTGCAAGAAACCAAAATAAAAAAATCACTCAAACAATTCCCAGGCAGGGCCTGCAGTTACACACAGGAACCCTCATGCTGTCTTGGGATATCGGTGCTCAGCGATGCCCAAGTTATTTCTTAGGAACCCTTTTTTTATAGTTGACTGATATCATAGAGTCATAGAATGGCATAGGCTGGAAGGGACGGTTATATTTTAGTAAGAACTCCCTGGAGAATTGAGGGTGGAAGGGAAAGCAAATTTCACTTTAGTGGAAAGAAGCAGGGGTTCTGGGATCTGATTTGGCATTATCTCATTAATCAAGTGTAATTTGGTAACTTGCAGTCCCTGTGGTAAAGAGCAGCAGTTGGGCATATGTGTCATCATCTTCTCTTCTAACCATTCCTGTTTATTGTTCAACCACAGAGGGTTTTAGAAAATGATGAAAATGCAGATGAAGTGAATGAAGAAGAGGATTTGGAGGAAGATATTCCAAAACGAAAGAACAGGCCCAGAGGACGGGTAGGTGGAGAGTTTACTGGAATGGAAAGGAAGGAAGCAAATCTCTAGTTTTCTAGTCTGTATTTGTCACGCATATTGTATACGCAAAGTGTTTGTTCATGGATATATGATAGTGATAACACTCTAGGTAATTTTCAGTCATATGGTCAAAGATTTTTCATGTTTTTCAATTTCTTTTTGTGAATTGCCACGAAAAAATACTATCTGGAGAGCAAAAAGTTGGGGTAAATTTAGTATAGTGTTGTGTTTACAACTGTAATGTAAACTGTAATAATTAGGATGACATCCTGCTATTACAATACTCTTACTTTAAAACAACAGTTATTAATTACAGAAAAGCAACAATTTCAGTCATGACAGCCAAAAATAATCATATTAATAAAAGTAACTTGAACTATGTTAATATGTTTTGCCGCTTTCTCCAAGGTAGCACTTTGTGGCTGACAGTGGCCCTCTTGAGCCCATGGTAAATCTTCCACTTGCTTCAAATGGGCAGTATTTTATCCTTAGGGGAGTCTGTGTCCCTTCTCTTACCTAAGATATCTTTTCACAATTTCAGCAGGGCACCAGTTAAGTAATGAAGCCAACATTTAAAAACTTGGAATCAACATTTTCAATTGTGGCCCCACAAGCTAGGCATCTAAGTAAACATAAATACAATTCTCAGAAGTTTCGAGCATTTTCATCTCTCTTTGGTTCCAGTGGATGCTGCAGGGGCACAGGAGCTCTAGAAATACCTTTTGATGTGTTTGTAGGAGTCAAGCAAGAAGGGCCACGTTTTAGGCCAAATGAGCAGGATATAATAGCTTTTGAATAAGAGAGAGACTTGAAACCACATTGAATACTTGCAATGTACTTATGCATCAGACCCTCTCCTTTGGTTTCTTCTGTTGTTGTGTTGTTTCAGTTTTCTGCTCCTCTTTATTTTGGAGCCTAAGTCCTTTAATATAAGATCAAAGCACTTTAATAATTGGATAAGTATATATTTCACCTTCCTTATTCTCAAAATCACCTGAACCAGTTTCTTTCTTTCTTTCTTTCTTAGCCAAAGACCCCCACCTGGAAAAAAATTTTCCAGAAAAATGTAAGTTTCAGAAAATTTGTATGAACCAGTAACCAAAACCAGGAGTTAGAGTGGATACATGCACACAAGCTTGACTGTAGCAATCAACTAATATTCCAGGCTAACAACTCTTTTCTAATAAGTTGCTCTCACATAAGTTGCGCATGCTGGTTAGGTTGAGCAAAAGGGAGTGAATAGCTAAAAGAGACATGCTGCTCAGGAGAAGGGAATTTGCTGTATTCAGTATATACCAGGCCTACACAAGCTAAGTCCTGAAGTTAGTTATGTGCAAAGTTTTACTACCCTGTTCAGGAAACTGTTTCAGAATAACTTGATTACTTTCTCTCTGCTACTATAGAGGAAGGAGTTGGAGGATACTAGATGGCCTATTCATTCTGAGGCATAAATTTATGTCTTATTTTTTGCCCTAGAACCATCCCCCTATTAAGTACAGCAGCAGCAGGATCTCTTGTCTTTTTCTTGCAACTAACTCCTGCTCTGCTAGTGCCCTGGCTTCATTCAGTGTGAAAAGGAGAAGTTTGAAGAGTGCCAAATACTTTGAGCAATTTTCATTTTTATTTGATGGCATCAATAACCAAAGCAAAATGTGGTATAAATTAGGATTTCAAAATTAGGGCCAGATTTTCTAGCTGTTGAAAACTGGTAAGCCTGGATTGCATCTGGTCACGAGTGTTTTGCCAGTCTTCAGACAGCCTTTTTTTAATGTGAGCCTGAGCTGGTGTAGGGACTTGAGGCTAAGGATTTGGAATTAGGGGACATGAAACCTGGGCAGCACTTTGTTTGTGGGAAGGAGATGGTCAGAGTGTTTTTAGAGGGCAGAAGAGAAGGACGGGCATAGGAAACCAGATCCTGCAGAGTGTGCCCTTTGGGGATTCAGAGAAGAAGTGAGGAGGGCTGACAGCATCGTTGCAGGATTAATGTGACACAATTACTGCTCAGGACTTTCCAAATTGCACAGGACCCTTCCTTTCCCTGCAGCATGGTTTTATATTTAATCCCGGACTCTCTATCTGTCCCTCTGGCTACTCTCTCTGGCTGCTTCAGGCCTGCTTCAAGGCTGCTGTGCCATGGCTCCCCGGCCTCGCGTGTCAAGTCTCGTAGCCTTTGCTTCATCCTGTCAGGAGAATGAAGGCAGTTGTGGGTACCCAAATTCAACATCCTCGAGTGCCGACAGCAAGCACGGGGCACTTGATTTCGTGCCTCTTGGGCAGCTGCTCGGTTGATTGTCCCCTTGAGGTTAGCCCTGAAACCCGTGGCAGGATTAGGAAGGACACCAAAGGCCAAAGAGAAGGATTTAGCTTTTTAGTATCTTTGCTGGACAGGAAGAATGCGGTAGGAGCTGGGAAGGATACTTTGCCAGGAGATACGAGAAGAATGCAGCTGCACCTGTGCAGATTGCCTGCTCGTCAGCTGGATATCCCGTGGGACAATTTCAAAGGCACTAAAGACATTGAGGAACCCAAGTCCCATTGAAAGTCACTGACTTGAAAAATCTCCCCCTGTGTGTTCAGTGCATGAAAAAGTCTGTCTGACGTGCGGTCATGATATGAATGCTGTACCCTTGTGCTTCTGTAGAGAGCGGTTTGAAGGGAAACAGCTGGCTGTAAGACTGCAAAACTCCGAGCAACAGACCTTAAATTACCGTCCTATTCTGAAAGGTGCCTTGTGTAAAAATAGTACCTTCTTACTCAACAGATCCATTCTCAGTGTGTAAACAGAGCTGGACCTACTGACAAGTGACTAAAATAAGTCTTTACACCTTTTCACAGCCCTGAGAAGCCAATGCAGCTGGTAGGATAGGGAAATTAGATCCTAATCCAGGTACCAGCAGAAATACTTATTAAAGGCCAATCACTTGTCTCTGTGAAGACTCTCTGATGAGCTGAGGGTTGTATAGGAGCTGCCTTGGACTGAAATTCAGCTTGCAGCACATTTTGCAGTAGTGAGGGAAGAAAGGAACTAGCCTGGGATTGATTTCATAGCCCAGAGGGGTTCACAGAGCTGGCAGTTGGAGAGAAAATATTGCAGACTAGTGAGATGATTTTATGTGATATGGTCAGTAAAATAGCTTCCACCAAACAATTGTTACTGGGGCCTTTTCCAGGGCGAAACTGCTTTTCAGTTCACCCTTGCAAATCTCGCTCTACTCTACACACAGGTCTTTGCAGAAGGCAGAGCTATACTTGTCATACCTAATAGTATTTACCCCATCCAGACAGCTGCAAATCCATGTCTTCCCTTCAGGATCATGTTAAGAGTTAGACCTGAGCAGTCCCAGAGAAATAATATGTGCAGTTTTTATAAATCCTCTTTTTGTCAGACTTTGGCAGGCCAGTGTAAACCTGTTCTTTGTTCCTTCTCTTTAGACGTCCAGTGGAATGCAGCTTTGAATAGTGCTAGTTCAGTTCCAAATCCACAAAAGAGGGACAGAGCTCCTATTAGCCCTTTGTGTCTGGGGTACTAATAGTCTCAGAATTTCTACATCTTCTCCAGCTTTACTTGCTGAAGCTCTGTCCCTTTCTTATTTTCATGTGCAAAAGCTTGAAGGATTTGAGTCAGGCAGCCTTGTCTAGGGTAAGAAACACCAACAGTTTAATAAGAGGAGAAGCAGAAACAATTTTGTTGCTTTTACCCTGGAATAGAGTAGCTGGTAGAGCTATTAAAGGGCTATCTACCCATCCACCTGCATATCGCTTCCTTGAATAAAGATCAAGTCTAAAATTATTGCCATCTACACACTGTATGTTAGTGCCATAAAGGAATTGGAGGCCTCGGCTCAGTTGCCAGTTCTGTATCACATCCTCCACCACTGGACAGATGTGAGTTGTCCTCTTGTTGGCATCTCAGCTGAGAAGGGTCAAGACCAAGCAGCTTTGATGCTGAATTCCGCTCTTACCCCCGAGCTCAGGATGGAGCAACCTGCCCTGAGGAGAAGCAGAGCTTTTCACTTTCCAGGGCTGCCAGCTTGGTGTGTTGTAGGAACACAGAACTGCAGAGAGACCTTTCTGGGTAATTCCCGTTCTCTCTTGTTGGAGGTAGCTATGTTACCTAATCTTTTCCACTAACTGCCCAAAGCTCCCTTTTGTAGTTAGCTGTGGTATCTTTGTCCCAGAAAGCTGTGTCAAAGCATTGCTTTTCAGCTAGAAGCCAAAAGAAACAACCCTCTTTTGAAAATAATGAAGGAAAACGTTTTACCTTTGTTTTGTTTGGGGCCTGTCTTCTGGCTTTAATGGTTGCATTTATCCTCTGACACCTGTTCATCTATTCATTCATACACATATTCAGTTAAGCAAGGTATTTGAACATCTTCAGAAATGAATGTGTGAGGATACTCGACTGAATACGTGCTGGCAGTGACCTACTGCAATGGATGAACAGTTTGAATTATCTGCGGAGGGGTTCTCCGCTGCATTACAAGGTCCATTAATGTATATAGTGTATACCTTAGGATATGAAGCGTCAGGCCCACCCTTGACAAACCTGAACAGAAGCTGAGGGTTTGTTTAGTTTATATTGCGCATTTTTCATATGAGGGTGAGGGGCACAAGGAGACCCAAGGGGCCACGGAATAATGTTAACATTCCTCTTGTCCTTGCAGGCTCGGGGATCTGGAGGTGGCAGGAGACGGAATGATGCTGCCTCCCAGGATGATCATGACAAACCCTATGTTTGTGACAGTAAGTAGCACCCAGACAGCTGATTCTGCTACCAGCCTGGTTCTAAAAGCTCAGTGCACTCAGGGCTTCATCTTTTCCTTTCCAGCAAAATATTCTGCTGCTCTCTGACTTGCATGTTTGCCACCTGCTGCTGTTGCTGCTCTTGGTGTTTTTGCATGAAGAAAAAACAATTAAGTCCTTGGCAAGATTCCGCTTCCCTTTGCCCTACAGTAAATCTTATATTTTCTTTCTCCTTCTCTTTTTCTGGCTTCTCTGCCTTTTGTCTTCCTTTCCCCTATGTAAGTTTCACCCTCTATTTCTTTCTCTGTTTCAGATAGTTACAAACAAAAGCATAACTCAAAAATCTCCGACAAAGGTACTTCACCTTGTATCTCTTCATATATTTGGTGATTCTCTCTCCTTCAGTCCTTTAAAAATCTCTCTGGGCTAAATTTTGAAGGTCTTATTCTCATCTCTCACTCAGAAAGTCCTTCTGTGGCATCATCAGGAGTTGAGCCCTCCTAAGAAACAAGCACAGCTTTGTTTTGATACTTATTCCTTTTGAATATGGCTGTGCTGTTTGACATCTCGCAGTGGGACTGCATTGCTCCAACTGAAAAATGATGCCTGAGCCCAATGCCTAAAATGAAGAATGGTACCAGAGTCCTAGTATGAGGAAGGAGTCCAATATTTGATACACAGTGTATTTTTTTTAATGGTCTAGTCTTCGGTGCTTTCCTTCTTCTTTTAATATTCTTTTTTGCTTCATTCTGCCATTTCTATGAAGGTCAATTTTCTTACCTGTTTTTGAGGTCTCCCATCTTTAAGGCTTACTGTGAAGTATACAGGAAATAATAATTGGTCCTACTGGATGCCTTCTATCCTGTAAGATAGTAACCTAGAAAAAGGTAATAGAACTAGGAGTATAGTGAGGGATCGTCACTTCTGTGACTCAAAAATGGTGATTCTGAGGACAATCGGAATCCCCTTCCTCTGCTATTTACCTGTCTTGCAAGGCTGCTGTCCTTAAAAGACCAACAGTTACTATGTCATTCTACAGTGCTATATCCTGCTTATTTTGAAAACCACAAAGGAATAAGGAGCATGCACCGTAAATAAGAACATGTGATCAAATCATATCCTTTTATGGCAAGACCAGGTGACTTGGTGCAGCGCAGTGCTAGACATGTTGGCTATTTTCCTTCAGCACGGTGACTGTTCTAAGGACAACGAGCAGAAATAGAAAGACTTGCACATGAACGGGAGCGTGTGAACACATGATCAAGAAGGAGGAGCTCTTTAGGATATGAAGAATGAGGAGATTTCTACTGTGGTTAAATGGTTAAATAGCTGTCCTTGTGTGCTGGAAGAGCTAAAATGCATCCTCTACGAGTTCTTTGGCAGCCCAATATGTATCTTGCTGAATTTTGCAGCTTTCTTCTGCTAGTATACGCATAACTGTCTTTGTCTCTTTTCTGAACTATCCTTCTAAATCCAAGGACACTTGTCAGTGGTAGTCATTTTAAACATAACGATTCTTTAGTGTCTGATCTTACTTTGCCTGTGAATCTTACGGGGAACTCACAACATGCGCAGTACTGATTTGCACAGCACAGATAAAACATCTAAGATACCAAAGCAGGCAGCAGAAATCTGGGCTGAAGACAAGGCTCTGGTACGTTGTTGTACTGATGGAATCTTGCATTGGCTTACATTTTGGAGCATAAATGTCCTCTTTGGTTTTGGAAATATAAACTTTCCTATTGCATTTGGCTGATACCTTTCATTTTTAGGAAATTTATAGCTAGAGGTGAGTCATAAGGAATTTTGGAATCCAGGCTTTTTACAGTGTCTCCTCCTTTTCCATTATAGATAGCTGAGAAAAGGGTTATGTGGTAGCAGAACTCTTCTGACTGTGAAACAGAAGGAAAGAATTGTCCCGAGTCCAATGCCATCATCCTGAAGTTATATCCTGCCCTTATTAACTTGTTGCAGAAATATTGCGTACAACTCATTGTGAATAGTTGGCCTAAGTTGAGGCCTCTCTCTTATTTGGGTGGATTTCTTGAATTAATTTCTTCTTTGAAATTATTTGCTAAATATTTTTCATAGATGAATCTCAATGTAATTGTGGTAGGTTAGAATTGGTTTGCAGTACTCCATGTGCAAGTGTTTTGGGCCGATAGTTTTGTTTTACATGGAAACATGCAGGTCAAAAATTAGTGAATCTGTTTCCTCTTTGGGAAGACATGATTTCCACAATCGCATTATTGGTACAAATAATTACCTTTATGGGTTGACACTTTACTTTTTCTGTATATCTACCTTGAGGCTGCTTTTTCTTGCAAGTGTTCTGGTACTTGGGTTTGGAAAGTGACCATGAGGAAGAAAGCATAAGCATACCTAAACCAAATTAATTTTCTTATTTAACTGCATGGGCACAAAAAAAAAATGAACTGTGGTGAAGAACTACTCTACTTCTTTTTCTTAGTTATACATTCATGTTTATGGGAAAGGTTTCACCAGAAATAGAAAGCTTATGGGGAAAAAACTAGTCTGTGTGTCAGTAAGGTGGTGCAGGTGTGGTACCCAGCTGACACTGCCCCTTGTGCTGGAAGATAGCAATGTTTTTTCTGAGAAGACGTGCCTTTTTTTTGGAGGAGGTATTCAACTATACACCAATATTAAAGCCTGTCTTAAAACTGAATCAAAATATGAAATTTCTATATGGAGAAAGGTTTTCAAAGCTCAGAATGTTGTGTTATCCTGTGTTTTTAAGAAAAGGTGGCAGGTAGCTTCTTTTGTGCAATGAAATATTCTGAAATATTTCAGTTGTTTTATTGAGCATATACTGCATCAGACATTGAGAATAAAATGTTTGACCGTTGAAAGCATCGATAAGCTTGCTAGCATAATCATGCCTTATTTCATCAAATTAGCAGTGGAAAACTAGCTGGCCAGTTTCCAACAGGTTGCACTGGGTAGTGTTGTGCCTTGAGCTCCCTTGGGATGAGGGGGTGGATGATGAAGCTGGCAGGGCAGCCTCATGTGCCGTGGGTACGGGCTGGAAATGCTAACGTAGCCCCATGGGCCAGCTCCTGCGTGAGGGCAAACCCCAGCATATCTTGACTGCCTGGCTAGGAGAGCAGGTGCCTTAAAGGACAGTGAAAAGTAAGGCTTGAGGAGCAAAGCCAAGCCTGCGGTGTCAGGCGAGAGAAGTGGAAGAAATGCCACCACAACTCTTCCTGATAATCTGGGCACGTGATTTTGAAAGGAGGGCAGAATGAATGAATGGATGAATGATGTATGTAATAAGAACTGATGTCATCTTGTTGTTAACTGATCGGCTGGGGAACCATCAGTTCTACCACAGCAGTCTTAAAAAATTTTCTACTAGTTTCATATTGTTTATTGTGTATTATTTACTATTTTTTTTAAAAAAAGCTTCTTTCAAATTTTATCTAGAAACTTATATTCTGGTTTAAAAGTTGCAATCAATTGTAGCACCTGAGCTTCATGACTCCAGATGTCCACTTCCTTTAGCCAGAGCAGTTAGTTTGTGCTGAATCTTTCCAGTTTATTAGCTTTCCTGTTGTGTGTCCCAATTTATCTGCTTTCATTCTTCCCATGTTCTCATGGAGACTTACCTACGTCCATACCTCCACCTTTGTTTTCTGTCCCTCTGTGGAAGATTTCCCTTGCCCATCTCTCAAAGAAGCTGTTTCTTTTCCTTTTACCAATATGTCTTCGTCTCCTTTTAGTTTTATTCCTGTATAAACTGCTATTTTAGCATAAGAACTTATGTTTCTGTTGTCTCCTTTATTTATAGTCCCTCCAGGGCTGACATATGCATTCAGAGCCATTTTTTGGGCAGAAATGAGAGTTGACTGAAACCTTCCTATGATCTCCACTGGATCAGTCACTAATGCAACCTTGCATGATCCCAGAGACACTAATCCTAGAGTGTTTTTTAGAAGCTGATTCTTTTGTCAAAAACTGAATTTTAAGGTTTCTGTAGTTATTTAACGGGAATTTTCCCTGCTGCACTTTAAGACCAGCAGCTCTTGCCCTGTTCTTAGTGAATAACAGCGTCTTCTGTCTATGTCTGTAAATGGTTACTGGGGCTTCTTTCAGCTGTGTTTTCTTCAATTCTTTCAATAAGCTTGTTTCTTTCCTCTGAAAAATCTCCAGAGGATCCGATTTAAGTCGCAGTGGACAGAATTAAGTTGAATGTGCTGTTCTGGGGATAGAAGCAGTTCAGAAGAGGAAGGGGTGGTACGTTTACATGCAACTTAGATTTACTTGTAGACTTGCATTTACTTGGATTTAACTTGCTCTGTTATGTATCTATGAGAGGTGCAGAGATGGCTGACCTACTAGGTTGTTTAGGACACCCTTTTTTCAGAGCAAGGTGCCCTTTATCATGTTTCGGTGGCAAAGGAGTTTTCATCTTTGTCCACCATCCAAGTTCATGTTTAATGTGCTGTTTGCTGCAGCTTCTTGTTCCTTCCCTGTTCATCCTCTTTCTACTCAGGCATCTGTCATCATTAGTTTCCTCATTATATTGCCTGGTCCTGGTTTTACTGCATTTTATTTATTTATACTAAATGTCATATTAATATTTACTAATTACATTACTATTTGAAAGAATTCTTTGATTAATGACTCTCACATGAGATATTTTTATCATTATTCCAGTATTTTCACCAACAATCAGTTTTCTGCGTACTCGTTTCTTTTACTCTCTATTCCACACTCCAAATTAAAGATGAAAGTGAAGCCAAGTGTTGGGCCCAAAATTGACTCTTTCAAGTGCTTGAAGATGCAGAAAGGTGCCTTGTGAAGTTTCAAAATAACTGGGCTCCTAAATCTCACTGGTTTCAGCTGGAGGTAGGCTCCTAAACTTTTTTCCCCTCAATGTCCCACTTCAGGGCCTAGTTGCTTGTATTGTGCCTCATTGTATATGAGGCTTGATCTCTAAGTGGACACTTGGAACTACTACTAATTATTGAGAACGTAGT